CGTCATTCAGCTCATTCCAGGTGTTTACCACCCTGTTGCTCAAATGTTTGATTTTACCAACTGATTTCTTAAAAAGTCTGTATCTATGACCTCGTAGTCCTCCTCTAGCCTTCAATTGAACTGGTAAACGGCGTATCCTTTTTTCCGGTAATCAGTTTTCATGTCTGTATCATATCCCCTCTGCATTTTTTTATCTCTAGAGTAGTCAGTCCACATTTTCCAAGACCTTTGATCATCTTTGTTGCTCTCCGCTGTACCTTTTCAAGAACGTCTTTATGTTTTGCAAATTTGGGCTCCACATCTGAACAAAGTATTCCAGTAAGGCGCAAACTAAAAATCTATACAAATTTATAATTATCAACTTTTTTTATACTGACCACTGTTCTTCTAATAAATCCAAGTATTTGATTTGCTTTGGCCGCTGCAATTGCACATTGTCTTGAGGTTTTTCTACTTGCGTGAATGATGACTCCAAGGTCCTTTTTTTTTGCAAATCTTCAAACCACTTCACCACTGTTTTTTCTGTAATTCTTATTTAAATACGTGACAACAATTTTAAAACAATTAATACATAAACGTGCAAGTTTTAAAAATTATTCTATTAGGTAACCAGTGCAAGAGAACAAGAAATGAAAATCTATGAGAAAAAATGGGGCACGAGTAACAAGACGAGCAGCAATGTTAAAAGCTTTACTTAAAGGATTAAGTGTAGAATCAGGAAGACCATAGTAGAGCAAGTTACAATAATCAATCCTTGATAAAATTAAAGAAGTAACAAGAAAGAGAAAAGTAGGATCTTCTAAAAAGGGCAAAAGTTTTTTATTTTACGTAGATGAAAGTAGGAACTTATAGCAACACTATTAATCTGAGAAGTAAGAGATATGCTAGAATCAAAGATAAAGCTTAGACTACGAAACTTGTAAGAAACATTAAGAGTTTTAGAATCAGGTAAGATAATAGAAAGAATAGAAAAATAGTTGATTCGCTATTCCGCATTAGCCGAAGGCCGAACTCAAAAAAAATTGTAAGAACGAAAAGCAAGTTATTGACAAAAATTAAGCGATTCATGTCTATTCAACAATTCTTCATCAAGATAAAATTCAATCTTTTGTATAAAATCAGATATTTTAACAGCTCTGGCCAAAATTAATTTCCCGCTAATAATAATCAGCAATTATTGTTCTGGAATCCAAAAAGTGATGGCTTAAACGTAAGTTGCATTTTCAGCTATTCTTCTATTCAGACTTTCAAATGGCAAAAGCCGATTTTCAAATTTTTGACCGAGTCTTCAGCCAGGCCGGATATTTGATACGCCCCTAACAAGAAGTTCCGATGTGGTCCGATAAACCGTCTTTCACTGAGTTCGTTATTCATATAAAAAAGAATGTCTGTGTGCGTGAACGTGTGTGTGAGTATTTCTTCGTGCGCTCAATGAGACGTAGAAGTTTGAAATATTTCTTTTAGCTTCCTGTCAACTCGACAACGTAGATTATTTAATGGCTAGCTAATATGTTTTTGCTTTTAATATATTTTTCAAATATGACGATTATCCAAGACCCGACTGAAATGGGTATAAACTATAATGTGCACCTTTTGGGTTAAATGTAATGAATTTTCTGTTTAGATTTAAATAGTTAATCTTTTGTAATTCATGAAATCACGTGAGTCCGCGTTTAATATAGAACTAGCACTTTATAAGTCACGGCGCCGACACGATCGTGCTGTACAACTTGTTCTTGCATATTTGCCGTCATCTTTAGTATTATCTCGTTTTAATAAAATCTTACAATTATATTGGTTATTGTCTAATGTTATTAATTGCTATTAATCAGCTCATCAAAATTTTAATGATGTTTAAATTAGAATCATAATTAGAATTTAATGTTACAAATTGTAATTTTTGTTTATTTCAACGTGACCTATACTTTTGTTTCAACAAATTCTACCTTTTTAATTAAGAAATTTTTTATTTTGGGAATAAGCAAAAAGATTGGCAATGATTTGAAAAAAATATTTCATTTCTTAACGTGGTTAACTAACAAGTAAAAATTAATAATGATAGAAAACATCTAACACGATTAATAAATCCTTAAATATAATCCTATCAGGATTAATAAATATCCTGTAAATTTTATAAATATGAGTCTTCAAATTTATTTATTAAATTTTTGTAGAAACATTCCAGATGATTCCCCAGGAGTTGACTCTTCTGAAAAATTTACAAACTTAATAGCTCGAATTATTTGTAGGCTCATATTTTGAAGTGGTTCATTCCAATTAATAAATCATACTCGTTCGTAAACATTCATAATTGCAGTAAATCCTAACTACATATATTTTAAAAGGAAAATTATATTTTTTTTTACAAAAACTTAAACAAAAATTTTACTTTGCTACAAATATGTTGCCATTTAGAACCAACAAAAACTTGAAAAAAAAAATTTAAGAAACCTGTTTGCTACAATATTACCCTTGTTATGTTATGGCATGATGGAGATAGTTTGAACTAAAACAATAACAACAACAACATCATAATAATCATCTACATCTTCATTACCATCATCATTATTCTCTCTTCTGTTTACATGACTTGTAGGTTATGAATTAATTAGTATTTTTCTTTGTTTCTAACATTTGTGACAATTATGAAAATTGAAATCATCTGTTTTAACCGCTATTTATAAATTAGGTTAACAACAAGATTTAGAAATTTATTTGGAATATTGGAATATTCTCAAGTTTACATGCATTTAAATAATCTTAATGTTCTCTAGTTATTTTCGTTCAAGAATTGTGATTTCAACTTGCTCAGAATTTGAAAATAATGTAATTTATTATTGCACAAGGACATAAGAACAGTTAACTTATATAAAATTCGTTTAGTAAATAATTTTTATAACTCGAAGCAAATTTTGAAAGAATAACTCAAAATAAACGTAAATATTGATCGTGTCAACATTCATACATACATTAATAATTCTCCATATATATATATTTGATTGCTTTTGCTAATTTTAATAATTGCTAAATTTTGATTCTCTATTTATATACGAGCTAAAATAAAAAAAAATATTCAATATTTTAAACAACCATTATAATCATTGCCAAAATTGTTTTTGATTTGAAAGTAGTAAAATGGCATGACTAAGTCGTTGGCGAATAAGATAATGTGGGATGAGCTGGCTTTCAACGGTTGCTTGCTGACACCAACGTTTGGTAAGACCTTAATAAATATGAACATTAATTGGCACTAACAGCAGAAGTTTAGAGATTAAAAGTAAACGAGAACAACAATAGAAAATCATTCCAGACTACATCCATAAGATCAGTTTGAAAAGTATTCTTTTAACATGAGAGCATAGCTATAAAGATATACGTATGCATCAGACTGACTCAAAACGAAATCTCCTAAAGGAACCAAGCGTCCAAATGAATTAAAATTTAACATAATTTTTTTAAAACGTAGAGGACCTATAAAAACGGATTTCACTCTAATCCTATCAAAAAGATGATTTTAGTGACCAAAAGTTGTACAAAAAATGTCCCTTTACTTACACTCATGCCTTCAAAAGTTCATGTATTCGACTTATGAGAGTAGGCGCTATTTTATTCGACCAATAAAGTTTGGAATGCGGGTGTAGATTAAAAAGTGTGGAACGCGCATTAGAATTTACTAATCTAAGATTTTAAACTTTCAATGTAAAACTTGTTAATAAATAACTTCTAAAGTTAGATGATTTTTTTTTTACAGATAAATAATCTTCCAGTTTACGCAAAAATTTAAAAATGAGGTATTTTTCTTTGCAGTAAAACAGAGCACCAATGATTCGTAATCTTTTTATGAACATAATCATACATCTATCTACCAAATGGTTGACATCATGATTTCCAATTATAAGGTTTTTAAGCCAGAAAGTTGCAATAAATTTCTTACAAATTGATATGTTTAATATTTTTTGCTGTAAAACAGAGCAAAAAAAATTTTCAATTATTTTATAACATAGACGTAACATATCTAAATGAGCAATTTTGAATCAAACACAAAGAAGCATGACCCCCTTCGAAACAGAACGTCACAGGGCGTTGAAGAAAAACAATCAACTTGTGAATGGTTTTTCCTTTTAACTGGCAAGTTTAGAAAAGTTGCCAGTTTTGACAGACTTTACCTGTTATACCAAAAGGGACTCGTGAAAAGGAAATAAAACCTATTCAAGACTTTCAATTTAATAGCTTTATGACAAAGTTCTATGCTAAAAAGTTAACACGCGTGTTAATCTCCGAAATAACTTAAACTCAAAAGAGTTTTCAGAATTATTAACTGAAATAGATTGCGAAAATATTTAGAAAAAACAAGAAATATAACTAGTCCTAACCGAGTGAACTCTGGGATACTAATGGAGGTTTATTTATTCTGACTAAAATTCAACATGTAGCAATAAAGAAATGATCATGGTTGAAAATAAAGACTATTTTCTAATTCCAAAAAACGAATCAGCTATAAACAGTAATAATAACAATAATAATTCCTTAATTATGAATAAGTTTAGCGCACAGGATCACTGCCTCAAAGAATTCGCGACAAAAATCCTTCATTAACATCTAATTTCATTTCAAAATCAACATCATCATTACACGCAAAACTTTGTGAAGAAAACGCACTTTGGAACTGACAACATTTATCATTTTATCAATGTGCTGCATCTACCTGTGATGCAACTACGAACAGCTTACCGAAGCAAATTTAAAAAGAAAAACGTTGAATGCAGGCCCGGTCTGCAAAATTTCATTCCCCTCGTGTAGTTGTTCATTATTTTGCGTAAGCAAGTCTGTAAAGCTCACGAAGAATGACATCAACAAAAAACAAAAATATTTACACGAGTAAATTATATTATTATATAGGTAGTTACAATATAATTATTAATTACAACAGTAATTTTTAATTATTACAGTAATCATTAATTATAGCAGTAATTTTTAATTATAAGAGCAACAACAACACAATGGCGGTCTGCTGTCGCAATGGTTGGAGGTGCCTGGTCGTGCTGTTGCATTTACCGTGCTCAAGTGCGAAGGTATTCCCGCTTGTCCTATGCAATTTGCATCATGCGTGCTTTCACGCGTATTCACGTTTGCTGCATGTGAGTTTGTGTGTGTGCGTGTGTGTGTGTCATTGATGTCTTTGAAACAAATAAGCCAATAGCAAAGGGTATACAATTTGTTAACTGTCAACACGTGATGATAAAAAACATTAAATAAATAAATATAAATAAATAATGGGCTTAAACGTAAGTTATATATACCCATATCAAAATAGCACTAAAAGACAACAAAAAACAATCAAACAACAATGTCAATTTTATGATCATAGAGAAAATCTTTGTTGGCCATATATAAGTCAAAATTCCTCTTCAAGTTGGAAACAGTATCTGATTCAACAACGCATGTCGGTAAATTGTTCCAAATAGAGATCACTCTGTTAGAAAACGAATACTTCCTTGTATTTGTATGGAACTTTGAACATGTATTCTATAGCGATGCCCTTTGGTACGTGGATCCGCATCAAAACACAAAGCTGGTGAGGAATCTCTATCTACCATACCCATCGCGATGTTCAAATTCATTAATATGTCTCCACGAACTCTTCTAAATCTTAAAGTTGGCAAGCCAAAAAACTTCAATCGATCCGAGTAACAAAGGCCTTTGCAATCCCTGACCATCTTGGTTGCCCGTTTCTGAACCCTTTCCAAATTGTCGATTTCCTTTATTTTTCAAGGAGACCATACACCGACACCATACTCTAACTTTGACCTAATTAAAGATTTATAAATCAAAATAAATGACTCTTTAGTTAAATTTTTAAAGTTTCTGTATAACAATCCTAAAAGAACAAAACATTTATTAATGACATGATGTATATACTTAGAGAAGCTCAGTGAACGTTCAAACAAAACCTCCAAATCGTCTACATCACCACAAAAATCCAAGTTAGAAATATTAATATTATAACACCAATTATTATCCAAACATGAATGACCAAACTTTACAATACTTTTCAATATTCAAATCGATTTTCCATAGCATACTCCAATCATACAATTTATCAAGATGTTTTTGTAGCACTATTCTATCATCCACACATCTTATAAAATTAAACATTTTAGCATCATCAGCATACAAATACATTTGAACAGAACTATCTATCTTTCACAATATCAAACATGTCATTCACATACACAATAAACAAAGCCGGACCTACTTCTTTGAGGCACTCCACTACTAACTTCCAACCTATTAGATAAACATTTATTCACTCTCACACTAGAAGTTCTACCACACAAATACTCTTTAATCCATTCAACCAAACAATCATTCACACCATAACCACGCAACTTATTAATCAATAACACATGTGGCACTCTATCAAAAGCATTAGTAAAGTCTGTGTAAACAACATCAACATCCAAACCAATTACCAACAATCCATCAATTTCAACAACTGGAGAGTTGTTGATTTCCCTTTCACAAAACCATATCGCCTATAATCTAGTCTAGTAAATTGTTTGTATAAATGTAACTCAATAGATGATTTTTAATAATGGACTCCAAAAGTTTGCACCAAACACAGCTTAGAGCAACTGGTCTATAATTCTCAACCAAACGTCTATCCCCTTTTTAAAATAAGAACAATAATGCTGTGTTTCCAATCTTTCGGAATTTTTCCACTATCTAAAGACAAATTAAATAATTTGCACAAATAATCAGAAACTGAATGTTTACATTCTTTCAAAACAGTTGGAAATTAGTTATCGGGTCCTGCTGATTTATATTTATTCAATCCATCAATTTTTCTTTCAACTTCACCTCTTTCAACAATCAAATTATCCATCATAGCATGATTATTGTATTCCGTTAAATTTTTTTTTTGATTATGCAAACTGCTATCCTGAACATAAACATTTACATTCATTTACATTTACATAAACATTAACAACAACAACAACAACAATAATAATAATAATAATGATAAAGTTAAGGATAATAATAATAATTAGGAGAACAACAACATCATCAACAACAGCAACAACATTGATAACAATAACAGCAATAATAACAACAGCAACAATAATAACAAAATAGATACGGAAGACCTTCACTCCAAACAACATCGCCGACCAACAGAACTCCAGTTAGTTTTGTTACGTTACTTTCAACTGTCAGTTCAGTTCAGTTCAATATCTTACTGTCAAGTGTCATGTATTTTGCTTTTGTGTGCATGTGTGTGTGCGCGCGTGTTTATGTGAGTGCATGTGCGTGCTTATGTGGGTGTGTGAATAACACAAGATGAAGTATGATGAGTAAAAAAACAACCGCAACGAAAATGCCCACCAACGCAATCGCATTCACCACAAGCATGGGTGCAAACATAGATACACAAACATAGATACACACAAACATAGATACACACAAACAGAAATACACATAAACATAGATACACAAACATAGATATACACAAACATTAGATACACACAAACATAGATACACACAAACATAGATACACACAAACATAGATACACACAAACATAGATACACACAAACATTAGATATACACAAATTAACAAATTTACAACCTATAATGATAAAGAGGATTATTTCCACAAACTTGCATAAAATTAAACGTTCTGAAGATGAAACCAACAAAAACGAACATCCACACAACAGCAGACACGAGCATCCTTGAATACGCTCAAATTCATATAAACTCTCTACCATATGCAGTACATATATGCACAATGCCACACACACTTACAGATATTAGTATGTATTATACAGTATTGTATAAATCCTGCCATTAACCTTTTTAAAGTTTGTCTTTTCAATTTTCCATACTAGAATTTTCTGGAAACTGTCAAATTTGTTGAGTATAAAATTTATCCAAGTTCATCATGAAAATTTAATGGATGATGAATTTGGATAACAACATTTTTATTAAATTTTCATGATGAACTTGGATGATAATTCTATTTTCAACAAATTTAACAATTTCCAGAAAATTCTAGTAAGGACAACTGAAAATAGAAACTTTAAACTGATTAATGCCGACAATTTGGTAGAATTCTAAATATATATATATATATATATATATATATATATATATATATACACACACAAACACACACACACACACACACACACACACATATATATATATATATATATATATAGATAAGCGGACAGATATGCGTAAATAGTGAGAGGCACACGTGGTTTTGATATCGGCAGTAAATTTAAAAGCTTAGTTTAAGTAATTAAAAGTAATTAAATTAATTAATTTCTTTTATGCAATGTATTTGTTTATTAAAGTGGTTGCTAAATGTATTTAACTAATTTTCTGATTGTATTATTATTAGTCTATTATTGTAATTTTTGCTTGATTTTAGTCATGGTGGTCTTGCAAGTACTTTTGTTACTTTTTTGATCTCCTGACTTTTTTTTGTCAAATAAATTTAGAAGAAAAAAAAATTATTACTACAACACTTGAGTATCGTTAATATAAGCCTGCACTGTTTGGTATAGATAGGTAAAAAAACCATAAAACAAGCATCCGAGCATTCAATTTCAGTGCTACACTTAAACGGACAAATTTGATTAATTTCAATATTTTTACTTCATCTTTTATTAACGTTAAATTAAATTGTTCATTTTTTAATCATAACTTGCAAAACTGTTCATAATGTTGATGGGCTTGAACCGTTTTTCGTTCCCATTCCGAAATTATTTCATTCTAATTTGCAATAATTATTCTGATTTTATTTTCCTTAATTTATTACTTTAGTTCAGTCTTAAATAATTTTAATTTCAAACGTTAACTTTTCCAACATTTTATATCATGAATGATAACACCAGAGCTCCTTCGAAGATGGCACAACTACCAAAACATTCCTGCCAATCTGAAATGCAATTAAAACAACTTCGCCTTATTGAACATCACTTCAAAACATTACTAAATATCATTAGAAATATATGTGTGTGTGTGTGTGTGTGCGTTGCGTGTGTGTGTGTGTCTCTGTGTGTATATTCATATAAATACTATATGTTGAAAGACGCAGGCAGACATGAAAATATTTGCTGGACCTGGCTGAGCGTGATGCCGAAAACGATTCGTGTAGAAATAAAAACACTGGAAGGTGTCTGAAAACAGACGGATAAAAAAATTAACGAAAATGAATTAAGGAAAAGTTGAATAAATGGATTCATAAGCAAACGAACGATTGAGCAGGTAAATGAATGAAAGAATAAATAACAAATCAATGAAAGTCCGAATGGATGAATGAATGAATAAATGAACGGGCGAGTGGTTATTGAAGTGGTCTGCATGCTTTTCACGACGCGTGCCTGGACAGAAATTGGTTGCCGGCTGGAAAGTCTTTCGTATCTGTGCGTCGTTTTGCAGTCTCCAGTACTTGTACATTATTTCATTCTGTTTTGCTAGCTGTTGTGCATCATTCAACTGAACGATGTTGTCCAACATTGGAAGACAGTTTTTGAGTTGTTTTTACAATCTGTTTCGTTTTTACAATATTTTTATACACTTAGAGAGAGCACTCATTTTTCATGCGGTTATTGCAATTATGATATAAAAATTCGTTTCGACACGTCAAAGTTGTCAACCATTCAACTGAACTGTTGGAACGATCACATTCAACTCTGAGCCACTGGAACGATCACATTCGATTGAAGCATGGACGATGCTCTCTTTGTTTACGAATTTATTTAGCGTTTTATTTCTAAAAAGAGTCGCGAACCATAAGGAGTTGTTGTCTTGGATTAGGAACAACGTCTAACAAGTGTTCACGAAGATATCTTGTATGCAATAGAACACACAGACACGTGTGTGCAACTTTCTTCTTATACATGGCATCATTGCGTGTAACGTAATTAAGTTTTCATCACAATCATCGTCTCAATTAAATGTTTTGTTTTCATTTTTTTAAAAAAGTAGTTTAAAAATTTTTTCCTAAATGTTTCACCGGTATAAATCGTCATTTGTTATTTTGAATGGACCAACAAATGTTTGTTAAAATCATCTTAATGCAGGTGTTCAGTTCTAAAATTTTAAAACCAGTTTCTCATTTTTAAAAATTGCCAGAAACATCAACAATTGTCATAAGCCATCGAAGGTCAGCAACAAACATCAACAAACAAACAACAACAAACAAACAAACAAACATCAACAAACAAACATCAACAAATAAACAAACAAACATCAACAAACAAACATTAACAAACAAACATCAACAAACAAACATCGGCAAACAAAGATCAACAAAAAACCATCGACAAAAAAAATAAAACCACCGATCGAACTTCATCCACTCATCCTAATATTCATATTATTATTATCATCATTATCTATTTTATTTTATGCTCAAAACAGCCCACCAAACATCTCAGATAATTGAATATGATGAAGCTCTGCCGACCAATTGTTTGTTAAATAGATGCCTCAATAAATTGAATAATTGGTGAATGTTAAAAAGTGCCTCATAAATTCTGATCAGCGTTTTATAATAGAAATTTACAAATGTAGGTCGATAATGTTGTTGCGTCTTTCGACTTAATTGCGAGCAAAATTTGTTGATTGATTTGCGGGGAACGACGTTGATGGCTTTCATAATCATTCATTCTTCTTGCACTTTTTAAGCGCTATTCTATTTTTAAGTGTGTTTTTTATGTTGAGCGGAATTTATAATTTTGTTTGTCGTTAGACTTTTCACTGCATCTAATGCATTCTTTATTAAAATTGATGTTGTCAGAAATGTAAGCACGCAACGCAGAGTTTTGCAACAGTGTGGGGAAATTTGTATTTTTAATTCCTTTGCGAATGTTACTGCCGCATGCAGATGTGAAAATTTTTGTTCGCGGATGTAAATGAAGACGGCCAAAAATAACTTGTTGAGGCTGATTGGAAGCTTCATGTCCCTCGCCACAAACGCAACAAACAAATTTTTGGCAACGCAGTGAATGTCTTTCCACAGCGTGATGGTTATTATGCCGATGCTGGTGCCACAACTACTGCAGTTATTATCATAACATTGACATATAAGAACAAACAAACACACTAACCTATTCTCCATGGCTGCTTGCATGTCAACATCAAAATCCAACAACAACAATGACGATGATGGTGACGACGATAATTATGACGATAGTGCTGATTGATTCTTGACAGAATATACTTTCCTTTTTTTCTTCAGTTGGATGTCCTGTCGATTGAAAATTAGTAACAACCGCATGAATGGACGTTCATCATTCATGTTGTTGCAAAATGTCACGACGCGCGCATGTGTGCGTGCGCGCGTGTGTGTGTGTCATTGTATGTCGGTGTTCGTTTGTTTAAATACGGCAATGTTTGTATGCTTATACAAGTGTGTTTGTATGGATACGTACGTACGTACCTGACATACGCACTTCTACATAAGCACGTACTCATGAGCATTTATAGGCATACAAACTCAGACGCATTATTCCATGCATGTCAGCCCCGTGTACGCATGTATAAATATATACACGTACATACGTATATGCGCATACAATTCCTATACAAATGCACATTGTGCGTACATGTAACCGTGTACAAACATGTGCACACGCAAATATGCATTTACGTGCGTATGTTCTCCATCTCTCCTCACTGCTAATAATTAGATTTGGACTGCCTTATATTTTTGCTCGTTCCATTGTTTTCTTCTTACTAATTTTTATAACTTTTAACCTTATAGTTTTAGTTACTGTCAACAAATAAGATAATTCAAATTAATAAAACTCACTTTTTAAAACGCCTACTTGCAATTTTTATACAACTTTCAACAAATTGAAGAAACGCTTATCATCAATGCAATAAAATTTCAGCAACTGTCAAATCAAACATCCATCAGACGATCCAGTGAGCATATCAAATAAAAAACTTGCTAGCACGCTTTTGTTGAACCTCAGTTTTATTATTTCTAAACATACATTTATTTCAAGTACCAAATTTCGTGCCAACAAACAGTTGTATCATCGTGTTCATCGCGATGCCGAGTTTAAAAGGGGAAATACTGACTATATATTATATACTGATGTATGTATATATATATATATATGTATATATATATATGTATATGTATATATATATATATATATATATATATATATCTGCACACACGCATCTAGGTCTATTTGCTTCTGAATTATATATATATATATATATATGCATATTTATTTATATAAGTATATATATATATATATATATATATATGTATACATATATATATTTATAAGTATATTTGTATATATGTGTATATATATATATGTGTGTGTATATTAGTTTTGTAGGCACATATATATATATATATATTTATATATAAATATATAAATATATATATATATATATATATATAAATATATATATATATATATATATATATATATATATGTCTCTACTTTGTTGCTTGTTTGTTTTTTAAGCGAATACTTAACGATCATTCAATTAGTTATTACAGCCTTCAACTTTGTACAATATGATACTTCATTTTGTTCGGTTAGTTGGGATGTTTTTTGTTCAACTAGAGTATTTTTAGCTTCTAACTCACGGGAAAATTGCAACATTCGTTGTTGACTTTCTTGTTCGGGAGTTAAGTAACGTCGGTTGGTTGTAGACAATTTTGTAAAGGCTGGGAGAAGACAAAAAATGAACTAATATTTGATAAAATCTACGTAATTTTTAGTTTTGAAAGTTTTATTGACCAAAGACAACCACAAATTAACAAGCAGCAAAGAATAAAAATTACCAATCAAAAGAATATTATTGAAAAATTTTACAAGCCTAAAAATGAAGAGGACAATGATGTAACAAACAAGACAATGCAGAACAAAAGCATTTTGCACACATAGAGATTTGTAAAACTTTGAAAGCAGTCAAATATATAGATATAATTAAAAATAGATAATCATTGAAAAAAATGAAAGTATGAGAGCTGCAGGACTGTCAAATATGAGAAAACTAGAAATCTAAATTAAATGTTGGTATTCCGTGGCGCGCACCCGGGATCGCTCCACGCCCCACTCTTACGCGATAATACTCTTCTGGGAAGGCCAGCACAAACAGACGCCATCGTACACGAGCGATCTCTCAACCTACGACGTACCTCTTATCTGTCTTCTTGATTCACTCATTTATTTAAATTTATTTAAAAATATGTGATATGAATAGCATTATGTATCTTATGTATGCGTCTTTTTTAATGATTTTATATTTTTGCAAAAATAATGGAACTGCAATTTGGACACGTCAATTAAAATGAACTTGGAAACCCATGAGGTTTTATACATCAAACGTTTTTCGAATGATTCAATTTAAAGTTTGTTTCGTATTTCTAAGAAGCCGCATTAATTTCAACAGCGTCATTTAAAATTAACTTAGTAAAACGAAAAATTTTAATTTCAGAATTAAACATTATAAAAAGAAGTAAGTAATGTTGCAAGCCATTTATAGAGCCCCTAGAGTGAACGACGTTGCGTGCACCTTGCAAATCATGTCATTAGATGCTTTCAGTTTTTTTGCTGCAGGATTAAAAGGATTAGTCTGATAGCTTACAAACTTGAAGTCCTAAGAAGCAAAACATTTCACTTTTGTGTGTATGTGATCAAACCGTTTGAGAGATATAATTAAGAAAAGTAATTTATTTAATGAACTGTTTAATATAACTAAAATAAAAATAATCATGCAAAGAAAATAAAAACCACTGCAGATTACAGATCAAGTTTAGCGACTGATTTTGACTGCTAGTGCCAATACTACTAAACTCATGCAAAGGGAAAAGAGTGGGAAAAGCAACTAACCAACCTCTCATTGTTCCAAAAATGGCACAAACTTATTTAATAACTAAACAATCTTTGGGAGAATAACAATGTAGCAATCCCA